ATGTGATGTGACAGCTGTGAGTCTGCTAAAGCTGTGGCGTGCTCCTGTTACCTCGATGTTTGGTGCCAAATGGTCGTGTTAAGTCTGTCTTTTTCCCACCATGGGGTTGGGATAATATCAAACATGTTTTATTCCACGGGCTCATGAAAACAGTCAAGCTCAGCATGGTGAACACCATCTGTTCTGTCAGCCAGTGTCATGTCCACCTGTTGTAATCTTTTTATTTTGTCCTGTTTTTTTTTGTTGTTGTTTTTTCACCTGAACAATCCATCAAACGCACAAACAGGAGCGTGTGCTTCAGTTCTCCCCCACCAGCAGCAGCATGATGTGAATAAGTCTTACAAAAATGCAGATTTTTTCACGCTTTAAGATGTTTGGTCTTCATGCGTGTCAGCTCACCTTATAGAGAGGACGCCTGACATCGATGGGGCAGTTCTGGATGACCTCGTCCACCACCTCAGAGATGGGCTGGGTGAAGTCCGGGTTGGCAAACTAGGAGGAAGAAACAAGGTTGACATGTCATCAGTTGCAGCGTGCAGGTAGATACTAAATGTAGCCATCAAACAGCAAAGTATAAAACAAAGATGTGCAGTTAATTACCGCGGGTGGTTCACTGAGGTAACAGCAGAGCCGCCTAATCAGCATTTATGAGCAGCAAAAAACATTCACAAGCCACCCTAATGCAGCGATAACAAAATATCAGAGCTTTGTGCATGACTAATAATGTCGTGGGACTGGGGACGCGTGTCCATTTCTTTAATTTTTGGGCTCTTTAATAGTTTATCCAGCAGAACAGCTCTGACTTGTTTCTTTACAGTCCTGCAAGTTTGCAGCAGAGCAGCATAACAGCAGGACACACACTGCTTTCCCCACAGCTTCATGTGTCAAACTAGCTGCTTACTAACTTGTAAAGTAAACAAACTCACAAATTCCCTTTCTTTCATTTAAAAACTAAATGTAAAAGTTAGACGTTAAGTGCATGTGTAAACAATCCTAAAAAACTCCTATATCGACACCACAATTTCCCACATGTCTCAGCACCCAATTGCGACAAACAGCAGGTCAAATTTGCGTTTCATGATTTGCACGGCACAGACAGACCTCTGGGTGGAAGAAGATCTCGGGTCCCAGGAAGCGCTCGTAGCCCACGTCGATGGTGAACTCCTTCTTGCTAATTGCGTTGATGCCGGTGTACTGCTTGATCCACTTGGAGCCGTCCGTGTCGTACTTCTGGAACTCTTTGACTAGATCTGGGCACACGTAGCTGAACCGCTCCTGGTGGTCAGAGCAACAGGACAAAGTTGTTTTTATATCAGGTCACAGAAAGCGGAATCTGCTAACTTAATCATCGCGGCTCTATTTGTGTCACAGCTTCTATTATCATGGGTTGTAATGCCGGAGTGATAGGGACATTAGGCACCGACACATTTGAATCGTGCAGCACTAACAGCGCCCCATACTCATTATTTTGATTTACAGGGACTGGGGTACACGGTGTCAGCACACCAGGAGGCACCGGAATTAACATTTCCACACACGAAAGGCAGTATGCACGACAGACAGTGCTAATGTTAATTATTTCAATTCACTTCATTTCTTGTTTTTCTGTTTCGGGGTAATGAAGAATGGCCCCTGACATCCAGAACAAAGTCCTGGATAACCAGCTGTTTAATAAACATGGAG